TCTCTCTCTCTCTCTCTCTCTCTCTCTCTCTCTCTCTCTCTCTCTCACACACACACACACACACACACACACACACACACATCAACCGACTCCTCTCATAACCGTAGTTGCGCACACACCAAAAAAGAAAAAGAAAAAATAACACACACACACACACACACACACACACACACACACACAAGCATGACGTTCAGTCACAGGCTTACAAAGGACGAGCATGTTTGCGAGAGAGACAGAGAGAGGGAGAAGGAGGAGGCCACGGGAGGAGGAAAAAGGACAAGAGGAGCAGCTCATTTTTCCGTCTTTCTTCTGCTTTCTTTTTTCTTTTTCTCATTTTCCTTTCTCATTTCTGACGTTTTAAATTTTCGCTTTTATTTATATGTATACATAAGCATACATATCACAATAGATGTGCATTTCTCTGCTGATGGGGGCAGCCGCCCACGTGGGCGGCCTTGTACGCAAGAGCTTCTGAACAGGGAAAGTTGTAAATAAGAACATAAAAAAATGAATTGATTTTTTTTTTTTTTTTTTCCTTTTGTTTTTTTTTCGCTTTTGCATTCTGATAACTTTGTGACAACTTTGTGACAACTTTGTGACAACTTTGTGACAACTTTGTGACAAATATACCATGCATGTGACATGCACATATGGAGGACCTGATTTGTCACAAAGATATACAAATAGAACGATAGCATCCACAATCAAAGTGGTGAGTGGTGTACCTGTTTGGGATGAGGACCCTGATCTGGTCTTTGAAGGGAGAGGCACGGCAGCCTTCTTCGTTCCGGTCTCTGAGCTGGTCATAGCCATCACCTTCTTTGACGTCAATCGGCCATCCACAGTCCACGTGGCACTCCTCAGCGGCGCCGCCGCCATAGCCACAAGCTCGAGTTTCTCTCCCTGACGAAAATCCGACCGTCCTCCTCGAATCCAATCTGTCCCTGTCACCATCGCCGCTCTCTCACCTCCATCGCCATAGCCAGGAGGAAGAAGAAGAAGACCACCTCGCTCCCGTCTCCTACACCTGCTGCATGTCCATGCACGCTCCAGCTCAGCCAATCTCGAGCTGTGCAGCTGACACGTCATCGCTGTGCACTTCGCCATCGACTCCAATCACCAGACTCTGCTCTCTCTCTCTCTCTCTCTCTCTCTCTCTCTCTCTCTCTCTCTCTCTCTCTCTCTCTCTCTCTCTCTCTCTC